GCCTATCACCTGCCCCAGCAGCCTGTTCAGGCACAGCGGGCTCCTGTCAAACAGGCCAGAAGGATACAGGGGAATCCGGACATTCTGCACTGGTGGTGACCTGAGTGCCAGTGGCCATGTGACTTTGCTCCTGCTCGCTCTTAAGACCAAGTGCAAGCTCATTCCCTGCTCTTCCTGGGCCATGGAGGCCCCTTGGGGGTGCAGTCCACTGCAGCTCAATCCGCTTCCTACAGCTGAGGCCGTGGGAAGCAGGGGTGGTGCTGGAGCTGCACTGGGCAGCTGTGCTTGCACTGAGTCTGCGCTCTTTCTTTCCCTTGTGTCTGTCTGCTCCGGGGTGCTTAGCACAGAGGCTGCTCCCCACCACAGCTCAAGGCCTAGAGTCTGGCACTTTATCTGATAGATACACAGCTGTTAAGACCCTAGGTACCTGGGTGTCTAAAAACCTCTAGGTTTGCTGCCTCCTCCGTGGGGCAGACCCCTGCTCCCACAGACAGTGTTGAACACTGACTTGGGAGCAAGGGGAATCAGGCTTTGCTTTTATCTTGAACAGCTGTGAGTGAACAAATGGAAAATGATTTGGCACCAAGTCCCCATCTGTTCTGATTGGAGCAGTTAGGGGTCAGCCAGCCACTAGAGCCTTAGGGAGAGGGGCTGAGAAGTGCGCAGCTTGCTTATTAGCTAGCAGCTTCCTGCCAGCCTTCCCCTTGGCTTATGATTGTCTTTGTCGCAAGGTCTCGGCAATTTACAGAACTCTCACTCCTTCCCTCGCCTGCCATCTTCTCTGCTTCTGAGATAAGAACCATTTGTGTAACACCAATACCTAACTTAAGACAGACATGCATTGCGTGGTTGTAATCAAAGCTGATGCTTTCAGATGATCTAATCCATCTCCAATGCGGAAAAGACAGAACAGGCACGTCCATCACACTGCTGGGCGCCCAGCTGACTGTAAGAATGGAATTCCAAACACTTAACACATTCAGTTCTATGACAGAAAGTGAGTCTATGGATATGGTATTTTGTGAATGATCTTTTAAATAAAAGAGAACCTTACGTAACATCTACTGTGTCTTTCTGGCCACTTGTGAAGTTGAATTTTGTGTGCTGTTGAGGGCATTAGAAGTAATTTAGGTGGCAGGTTCAGTGCAGCTTTTCAGCCATTCAAAGAGTTTTGCTGTCATCTTTGGTCCTATTAGGCAAGCACTGTGGTACTAAATGTGCTCTGTCCATCCGTCTCAATTCCCAGTGATGGATGGCCTTGCTTGAGGCCTGATCCTTGGACCCTCAAAAGAAGAGAGTGGGGTGCAGCCTGGTAACAGAGGCCAGTCATCTCAGTCCTTAAAGGACAGTGTTTGTTGTATAAGCATCTCCAGCATCCATGTAAAACAGCAGCGCACCCCCATGGTCCCAGTGCTGGAGATGCAGAGATGGGAAGATAAATGCCTGGGGCGTGGGTCTGTGATAGACTGTGTTTTAAAATGGCCTTTGAGGGCTAGAAATGGTTGAGTTAAGGGTACTGACTGCTCTTCCAGAGTTCTCACATTCAGGTCCCAGCATCTACATGGTAGCTCACAACCATCTATAATTCCAGTCCCAGGAAGTCTGGTGTCCTCTTCTGACCACCATCAGGCATGAATACATGTGCAAGTGAACACCCTTACACGTAAAATATATGTCTTCGGCATAGTGGCATACCTTTAATCCCAACACTTTTTCACAGTGTTTGAACCATCTCTGTTGATGCATATTGATGGTCCTGAGATGAATTCAGACAAGTGGTTATTGATTTCTCTGCCTTTTTTTTTCTTGCTTCTTTTTTTTTAAAGATTTATTTATTATGTATACAACATTCTGCCTCCATGTATACCCGCACGCCAGAGGAGGGCACCAGATCTCAGTACAGATGGTTGTGAGCCACCATGTGGTTGCTAGGAATTGAACTCAGGACCACTGGAAGAGCAGCCAGTGCTCTTAACCTCTGAGCCATCTCTCCAGCCCATTCTCTGCCTTTTTTTAAAATTCATTTATTATTTTTGTTTTTCAAGACAAAAATGTAACAGCCATGGCTTTTCTGGAACTCGACCAGGCTAGCCTCAAACTCCCAGAGATCCACCTGCCTCTGCTGGGATTAAAGGTGTGAGCCACCACTGCCTGGCTGTTTTGTTTGTTTTTGTTGTTCCTGGGAATTGAAGGCAAGGCCTATATGCTACATGAAAATACCACAGCTGAGCCACACTTTAACCTCTGCAGGGTTCTTAGACTGGATTCACAGAACAACAGCATGCTAAAATGCTCTTCCTTTGGGTTCATTCTGTTGAGCCATATTGTCTCTCAAGAGTCTGAGTCTTGGTGATTTTGAGGGTTTTGTGGTGTTGGCTTTTTTGTTGGTTTTTTTGTTTGTTTGTTTGCTTTTGGCTTTTTGAGATCCTCTCCTGGAACTAGCTCTTGTAGACCAGGTTTGTGGTGCTTTACAATACTTTGTGACTTTTTGTGCCTGCACTGGCTAGAAGAGGGTGTTGGGTCTCCTGGAGCTCGCTCTCGTGTGTGTGTGTGTGTGTGTGTGTGTCTGTCTGTCTGTCTGTCTGTCTGTCTGTCTGTCTGCATCACGTGCACTCAGGGCTGGAAGAAGCCAAAGGAAGGAGCCAGTTTCCCTGGAACTGGACTTGAATTGTGAGCCGACATGTGGGTGCTTGGGATCATCAAACCACCCCCTGGAAAAGCAGCCAGTGCTCTATGCACCGAGTCACCTCTCTGGTCCTAAGATTTAGTTTGAGCATGAGCATTTTGCCTGAATGTTGCACTATGTGCCTGTGGAGTAGTCAGGAGAGAGTACTGAATCTCTTGGAGCTAGAGTCACAGCTGGTTGTGACAGGATTTTGTTTATTTTTTTTTTGTAAAGGTGAACCACAATATTGAAGACGGGACAGTGAGATGGCTTAGCAGATAAGGATACTTGCTGCATGCCTGACAACCTAAGTTCAATCCCCAGCACCCACATGGTTGAAAGAAACTGACTTTCACAAGTCCTTTGACCTCCTATGTTGTCTACACACACAAATGTAAACTTAACTTGGGAAACAAAAAAAAAAATGGCTATAGCCAACTCAGTCCCTGCTTTGTCTCTCATTGCATCCAAAGCTCTATACAATGGCAGATACTCAAAAGCAACTGCTCTGTAAAATTGCTTTGTGGTCTTCTTTTAGACCCTACAGAGTTTGGATTCCCTGGGAGATGCTATAATGAGTTATTAGCAGAGCAGTCCTTCTGAAAGCAGGGAGAAGGAGACACCCAGAATACCACCAAGGAAGGGCCTTCTCATATATTGTTCTATTGAAATTAGGGATAGATTTATGCCTTTAAATCCAGCACTCGGGAGGCAGCAACAGGCAAGACCATCCTGGTTTACAAGAGCTAGCCACTGTCCTTTCAGGACAGGCTCCAAAGCTACAAAGAAAGCCTGTCTTGAAAAAACAAAAATGAAAAATTAGGGCTAGGCAGTGGTAGCACACACCCTTCTTTAATCCCAGCACTATGGGAGGCAGGTTTGAGGCCTGCATGGTCTACAGAGAGTCCCAGGACAGGCTCCACAGCTTCGTAGAGAAACTCAAAAAACCAAAAATGGAAAATTAGGGCTGGGCAATGGTCGCACATGCTTTTAATCCTAGCACTGAGACCAGCCTGAGCTACAGAGAGTTCTAGGCCAGGCTCCAAAGCTACACAGAGAAACCCTGTCTTGAAAACCCAAAAAAAAAAAATTAGAAAGGGCTTGGACATTATAGGAGTGTGCCTCCATACCTAGCCTGTGCATTGTGGGTATGGAACCTAGGCAAACATTTACCAACTGAGCAACATTCCTAGCCCTCTCCATTCCAGTTTGTGTTGTTTCATCTTTTGGGGGGGGGGGGTTACTTTTGTAGATCAGGCTGGCCTTGAACTCAGATCTGCCTGCCTCTAGGTGTTAGGATTAAAGGGGTCTGCCGCCGCCGCCTGGCTAATAATCGTTAGCTGTGTGTATGGGTGCCCTCAGAGGCTAGAAGGGTAGCTATGCCACCAGACTTGGGATAAATGCTGAATTGTTACCAAAGTGTGGGGAAGAGGCCAGCCATGAACACTAGCTCCTCCTGAGTCTGCTTCCCCACCTGACCCCATGCTCATGGGAAAAGAAGCCTTTTGAACCAAGTGTGCCAGGCACTATCTGACACATATTCCCAGTGGTCCTGGGGTGTTGGAGATGGAGCCAACTCCTGAGCTGCCTGCGGGTCTCCTGCTAATGGGTACTGTTCCCTGTGTTACTTTACTTCACCACATGGTGGCAGCAGTAGGCTCGGTGCAAAGACTGGAGGGAAAAAAAAAAAAAAACCCAGACCACTAGGGCAGACCTTGGTTCTGGGCTAGGGCAGACCTTGGTTCTGAAACACTAAACTCAGCAAGCAGATTTCAGGGTGGGACTGTCCTGCCTCAAGCCTTGATGTGACCAGCAGGTGGAACATCATATTAGCCTTTTTCAAGTTGCAGGGTGCAGAGCTAGGCAGGCTGTTGATCCTTGTCCCTTAGGGCAGTGGTGCCTCCCTGAGCCGCAGGCAATGACACTCCCAACTGAGAAGCAGCTTTGGGGTAGAGGGGACATATGACATAGTCCATAAAGCTCTCAAAAGCCAGAGAACCCGAAGTCATAGCAGCTCTGGGAACAAACACTGATCTCAGCACTGAGGACACAGAAACAAGGCTCTCTGGAGTTTGCAGGATCAGTCAGCCTGGACTACTCGGTAAGCCGCCAGTCAGCCTGGACTACTCGGTAAGCCGCCCCGGGTCTGTGAGAGGAAAGCAAGGTGGAAACTGGGTGTGGTCCCAGCACTCAGGAAGAAGCAGATGGGTCTCCGAGTTCCCAGGCCAGTCTGGACTACATAGACATAAATAGAGAAACCACTAGGTAGGTGGTCTGGCAAGGTGGCTCAGTGGGTAAAGGTGCTTTCTAACAAGACAGACTGAGTTCTATCCCTGGGACCCATTTGGTAAAATAACCAATTCCATGATTGTTGGTGATGGCACACTCCGATCCCAGCACTTAGGAGGCTGAGGCAGGTGCATCTCTGAATTTGAGGCCAGCCTGGTCTACAGAGTGAGTTACATGGCAGCCAGGGCTACTCAAAGAAACCTGTCTTGGGGGAGGAAAAAAAGAAGTGAATGTTACCAAGACTGACCTCTGGCTTCCACGTTCACACACACCCCCACCTCCCTCACTGGCCTCCACGTTCACACGCACCCCCACCTCCCTCACTGGCCTCCACGTTCACACGCACCCCCATCCCCCTCCCAACACACACACAGAGGCAGGTTGGGTGTCTATCCAGCTGTTTGTGACACTGCTCTTTCGTTCCATCTGCTGTCTTTGTGCCATCCACCGTGCCCCTTACCTTGTTTGTCCTATGGGATTCTGCTGCTCTAGTCTCCTTGTCTGCCTGATCCCCCCTCGGACGCTGGAGGGTGCTGAAAGGGCTCTGCTTGTCTGTGTCTCTGCATATCTATCTGTCTTTCTGGTCCTCTCCTGACCTGTGTGACTCTCCCCCCCCCATTTCTCTCCCCTCTTTGTGAGTGTGTGTGTGTTCTGTGGGTCCCTCCTGCACAGCTCTCCTTCTGTCCTCCTTACTTCTGTGTGCATGTGAACTCTGAGGTTGACATTGCTTCTCTCCGTGCTTCTTGGGGCCTGTGTGAGTCCTGGGCTTTCTGTGTTTCTGTGCCTATCTCTCACTTCCCATTTCTCCTGTGTCTGTTTCTGTTTCTTTTTTAAACCCCCGTCCCATGTGTATGCTTTTGTGTACATGTATATCAGAACAACTAGCAGGTATCAGTCCCCCACCCCACGTGTGTGTATGTGTGTGTGTGTGTGTGTGTGTGTGTGTCAGAGGACAATGAGCAGGTATCCGTCTGCCCTCTCCCACCATGTAGTTCCTGGTGCTAGAACTCAGGGTGTCAGGCTTGGTGGCAAGTGCAGTTACCCAGTGAGCCATCTTGCTGGCCTGCCTTTATGTTTCTTTTTGGTTTTGTTTTTTTAAGACAAGGTCTCACCGTGCAGCATCCCTGGCTGGCACTCTGTAGAACAGCGCCTCATACTCTCAGAGATCTGCCTGTTTCTGCCTCCCAGGTACAGGCATTTGAAGGCACACACCACCATGCCCCACTCCTCGCTTTCTATCTCTGTATCTTTCTCTGTCTCTGCCCCGCCCACTCTGTCACTAGCCAGTTGAGCAGTCCGGCTGAGGCGGATGTGCGCGGATGATTCAGTAGTGACAGGAAGCCAACCGCCTTGCCTGCTGCCCGCCAGAGTCTGTGGTGTTGGCATCAGCTTGGGCAGGTGTGCCGGCACAGGATGGGATGGCCATGGTGAGGAACCCCCACTCTCAGGTAAGCATTTCCCAGGGGTGCCCAGCTGAGCAGGTGTTTTCTGCACCATACTAAAGACCCTTAGCTATGGACTGAGCGGTGGCTGAGATATCTGATAGCCCCTTAGGGACAGCCTGTTTCGGGGGTTCCAGATATCTACCTACCTATCATTTTCTTCCTGAACCCCCAGCTGTGAGACCCCAGGAGGCCCCCAGGGTGGTTCTGGTATTACCAGTGACTGGGGAAGGCCAGCCAAAACCAAGAGATAAACGCGGTTTCTCCCATCTGTAAAGGGTTAGCTAATGCCCCAAGCCTGTGGGTGAATCTGGGATGCTCTGGGGAACTGTGCCCAGGCCCTGTCTCAGCCAGGAGGAAGTTGCTGTCCCTCATCCAACCAGTCCTGACCCAACTTCGTACCTGTTGACGGATAGCCCCTGTAGAGCTGGCGGGCTCTGTCTGGCTCTGTGAATAGTTAGCCCGGGTTGGCTGGGTTCCTCCAGCCAATCTCCACCACCACCACCACCACTGACCTGGAAAATGGCCCGCCAGACCTCTGCACATGGCTGTACCCACAAACACATGTACAACTCACCTGGACGTTTGGCCTTCGATAGGTTTTTCAGAGCCCTCTCTCCACCTATTTGAAGTCCCAGGTACTTGGTCCACCTGGGTGGGGATTGTGGTACACTGCTGTGTGCCTAGGGTACACAGCCCTAGGGATGCTAAGGAGGGAGGACAGTGAGTTCAAGGCCAGCCTGTACTCCGTACTGAGACCCTGTCTCAGAGGAACAAACCACAGACATTCAGCCAAGACCACAGGCCCCAGAGTAGCTCATGAACACAGCTACAGCCATCCCAGGTCTGTGCAATTGGTTGCAATCCTCAGCTAAGCCAACCCTTGTGGCCTCTTGTTCCCTGAAGGGTGAGCCATGGACAGAGCTATCACTAAGGACCGTTGAGGCTGGAGGCTCCGAGGTTAGAGACCAGCCCTGTGCAAACCTTGTTCATATGAAAACTGCCCACTTCCCTTTGAGCTATTTTGGCCCACAGAACCACAGGGCTGTGGCAGTCCCCGGCACACCCGCAGCCAGCCCTGCTTGGCCCCTTGGGGCCTTGTGTGACTGCAGGCTGCCCCTCCTGCAGCCCCAACCTGTTGTCCCCACCACCCTCAGCCGGTCTGCTGACATCCCGGGTAGAGAGCACGTATGAGCACATGGAATGGTGGGAACTCAGGGGGCCCGCTCTGAATTTCCGTCACTGCCTCTTTAACTCTGTTTCTTTGTGGCGAAGTACATACCTCTCTGAGCCTCCCATTTGCCCCTTGGGAAGAAAACAGTTGGGCTCAGGCGAATTCCCAACTGAGAAGCAGGTCCCAGACCCTGTCTAGGAAGCACCCCACGCGCTCGCACCTGCTCTTTTTGTTTTGTTTCTTACTATTTTAACACATTTTTAATTACTGGATGGGTGGATGGATAGGCGCATGCAGAGAACACCTTGCAAGAGTGAGGTCTCACCATCGTGTGGGTCCTGGGAATCAAGCTGAGACTCCAAGAAAAGCACATTTTTACCCAAGCTAGCTCACTAGCCTCCACTCCGCCTTTTCCTTACCATGTACTGATTATGCATAATAATGGGCTTATGGCTTTTCCATACATGTAAAGGATGCATCTTGACTATATGCACCCTGTCACCTCTCTTGTCCACCCCATTCTCATTGGTTGCTTGCCCTCTTCCCAGCCAACCCCCTTCTGATATCATGGTCTTCTTCCAGCAGGGTGGGATCTGGTGGTAGCCTGGTGAGTTCCATTAGGTTTGCTTTCAGGATGTGAGGGGTTAACCTACAGGAGCGTGGGCACCTTACCATGAGGAACTTCTCTCCTCCCAGCAACCTTTTTAGTTAACTTTAAAACTTTCATGTAAGTTGGCACATGATGGTGCCCGCTATAATCTCAGCCCTTGGGCGGCAGAGGCAGGCCAGTCTCTTTGAGTTCTGGGCCAGCCTGGACTACACAGTGAGTTTCAGACCAGCCAGGGCTTCACAGTGACTTCTTGTCTCAAAGACAAAATGTATGTGTGTGAGTGTTTTGCTTGCATGTACATGTGTGTACCACATTCCTGCCTGGTGCCCACAAAGACAGGGTGAGGGATGGATGCCCTCCTGCCACGGCCTCCTCAGCAGCTAGGAGAGCAAGCGGGTTCCTCTAGGCCTGTCATCTGCTTCATTAGGTTCTCACAGTCCTCACAAGGTTTAGTCCCTCAGACCCCACTGGGGTCAGTGGAGGGCATCCAGGCTGTGCCTCTCGACATCACCAGCTGGGATACTACATCCCCTCAGTCTTTGCACTGACAGTCCCTTCCCATGACACATGGCCACAACTGTGACTATGACAAGAATCTAGGTGGAAACAACCCACATGACTGACCCTGCTCTACAGTCATCATCTCCATGACAGGCCTCATGTGACATGTGCAGAGGCCACATGTCATTTCCCTGGGTGGCAGGCTTTAGCATAGAGGTGACCTGAGCCACACCACCCCAGGGCTGAGGACTTCTGTAGTCCCGCTCATCCCTGGACAACAGGCCTAGAAGCCAGTTGGCTCTCTGGTAACCAAAGCCTCTTGGACAGAGCATGGTCCTCCTTCCAAAGGCATGGGGTCTTGAAGAGGAAACAGAAGCCAGCAGGCCAGCTTCTGGGACCGTGAATGCCAAGCCAAAAATACGGGCTTGCTCTTGGGGTCCCAAGTGGATTGAGATGAGCAACTGCTGAGTTATAGGGAGCCTGCTTGTGCTGTCCAAGTCTCCTCATCCTCCTTGTTTTTTTTTTCCTTGAGACAGTGTCTTGTAGCCCAAGCTGGCCACTATGTAGCCAAGGATGACCTTGAACTCCTGAGCCTCTGCTTCCCAAGTGCTGGGTTACAGGCATATAGGAGCAAGACACCATGCTCCAATTCTCTCTTCTCCCCACCCTCCCGCTATTACTCTTTCATATTTCCCCCTCTGCCTCCTCTCTGTCTCCCCACTCCGTGTGTGTGTATGTCTCTCCTTTTTTAAAAAAATATAGATAGGGTTGTGCTTTGTACCCAGAATTAGCCTTGATCTCCCAGTCCTCCTGGCTCGCTCTTTCTTTCTTTCTTTCTTTCTTTCTTTCTTTCTTTCTTTCCTTGTTTATTTTGTTTTTGTTTTTCAAATTAGGGTTTCTTTGTGTAGTTTTGGAGCCTGTATGACTGTCCTGGAACTCTCTGTAAACCAGGTTGGCCTTGAACTCACAGAGATCCATCTGCCTCTTCCTCCCGAGTGCTGGGATTAAAGGCATGTGCCACTATCACCCAAATTTTTTTAAAATATTTATATATGAGTGCTCCATCTGCATGCTCGCCCTTATGCTAAAAGAGGTATCATATCCCACAAGAAATGGTTGTGAGCTACCACGTGGTTGCTGGGAATTGAACGCAGGTCCTCTGGAAAAACAACCAGTGCTCTTAACAAACCACTGAGCCATTTCTCTAACTCCCCTGGTTCTGTTTCGTGTAGTGCTAGAATTATGGGGATGTGCCATATGCTCAGTTTATGTCCTTTGATAGACAAAGTCAATGTTCTAACCAAACGCCACACCCCAGCCCCTCACTGGGGGGTTCTAGGCAGGGGCTCTACCACTGAGCCACGCCCCAGCCCCTCACTGGGGGATTCTAGGCAGGGGCTCTACCACTGAGCCACACCCCAGCCCCTCACTGGGGGATTCTAGGCAGGGGCTCTACCACTGAGCCACACCCCAGCCCCTCACTGGGGGATTCTAGGCAGGTGCTCTACCACTGAGCCACGCCCCAGCCCCTCACTGGGGGATTCTAGGCAGGTGCTGTACCAGTGAGCTGCGCCTTCTCTAGCTGGAAGTAGGACGGAGTGCAGACAGAGCGGCCACTTTGTCACCATCGTTCCACATGCCCCTGACTGGCTCCCTCAACTGTGTCCCTGTCCATGCTCTAAGCTGAGGCTCTTCGTACTTGTGTTAGCTGGTTTCATAAGGGATGGTTGTATTCTACCCACTCGCCAGACTATATAGGGCTTCAAGACTGGGACAGCCACTGCCTTCTCATGGCCCTGGGCTAACTGGGAGTTCACAGCCTCCTCACTGCAGACATCCCCCCAACAGCCCCACCTCCCCCTTTCTCTCACTCTACGGGTCCTCAAACCCTGTCCCTCAGCCGGGCACCCATCCCTGAACTATACTGTCTCAGGGTGCCCTCCTCTGAGAGGCATCCTCTAGCTCCCACACTACAGGCAGGATCTGGGTTGGTTGGTTTTTTCGAGACAGGGTTTCTCTATGTAGCCCCAGCTGTTCTGGAACTTACTCCATAGACCAGGCTGGCCTCCAACTCAGAGCTCTGCCTGCCTCTGCCTCCCGAGTGCTGGGATTAAAGGCATGCATGCTCTCTTCAGTGCTGAGCCATCGCTCCAGCCCCGCCACCTTATTTTTGTTTTGTTTCTGACATTGGGTCTTAGTCTTTAGCCCAGGCTAACCTGAGACACACTAAATTGTCTCCGGCTGGCCTGAGGCTACAGGCAATCCTGCTTCAGCCTCCAGCGTTGCTGGGATGGCAGATGCAAGCCCTTGTGCCAGGTCCAGGACTGAGCCTAATGTTTGACTCTTCCCTGTCCATAAAGCAGCTGGGGCCAGGTCCCAGTCTCAGCTTCTCCAGTTGTGAGTTAAGGAGCCTGTCTCTCAGGGCCAGGGGATTGGGAATGAGTGCTTGGGCTTGTCCACAGTTTCTTTTTTTTGTTTTGTTTTGATTTTTTGAGATAGGGTTTCTCCGCAACTTTTTGGTTCCTGTCCTAGAACTAGCTATTGTAATCCAGGCTGGCCTCAAACTCACAGAGATCCGCCTGCCTCTGCCTCCCGAGTGCTGGGATTAAAGGCGTGCCCCACCACCACCTGGCTTGTCCACAGTTTCTTAGTGCTGCCCAGTGATCTCAGAATCTTCTAGTGCACATGGTCTGGTAGTCAGTGTGTTGGTTAGGGTCACATAGGAGAGAGACATGGTTGGTCGATCCTGGAGTAAGGACGGCCATAACATTGTTGCTGGAGCCAAGAACCAGAGAGATCAGGAGCTGACGCCATGGGGTAGGGCAGCAGCTGGGAGCCCCTGGCTCACAGATCTCCAATGTAGCTTTGCAGCCCCCTCCCCAAGCCGACATGAGTGACAAGTTGGAGCTGCTGTGGCCATTGTCAGTACCAATGCTGCTGCTGTTGGGGGCCACAGCCTGGCTGTGTGCCCGCTGCTCCCGCCCAGGTAAGTGTCACACGGGCAGGGAATGATGGGAGTACCGTGGAGATTCTGTCCCAGAGGCCTCTGGGGCTGGACCTGGCTGTCACGGAAGGGACAGGAGGATGGGCACTCAGGAACCAGCTGCTGGCCCCTACTCAGCCCCTGAAGACACTGGGTGTGGGTAAAGACCAGTTCTATTGGACCAGGGCGGTCACTTAGGCCAGGAGTTGCTCTGGAGAAGAGAAGGGAGGCCGGCTACCTGTGGCACCCTCTATTTCAAACTGTCCTTCCCTCACAAAAGGGACTAAGTACCTTTCCTTCCTTCCCTCCCTCCCTCCTTCCTTCTTCTCCCTCCCTCCTTCCTTCCGACCCCCCTGCCCCAGCCTTCTTCCAGCCTCTCTTCCTCCTTCCTTCCTCTCCCTCTCCCTCCTTTCTTCTGTCTTCCCTCTGTTTTTTCTTCCTCCAGCCTTCCTTCCATCCATCCTTCCTTCCTTCCTTCCTTCCTTCCTTCCTTCCTTCCTTCCTTCCTTCCACTCAAGCTAGCCTCAAATTGTTCCTATCCTCCTGCCTCTGCTTCCTAAGTGTTGGGATCACAGACATGTGTCACCACACCTGACTGATATGAACCATCTCAATGACAGGCAGCCACAAGGGACTTTGCCAAGGGCCTAGTGGAATTTCAAAAGGGGGGGGAGTGGTCAGCCCTCAGCTTCCCCCACCACACATCCCAAGTTCAGGGACACTTGCTATGCCATTTCTGTTCTTGCAGGGGTGAAGAGAAATGAGAAAATCTACGAGCAGAGGAACCAGTGAGTTGTCCCAGCTCGGTGTATTTGGGGATCCCCCCAGGGGCCCAGTTTCTGCCCTCACTCAGGCCTGTTCCATGGCAGGTTCCAGTGGGTGTTTAGCATTCATTGGAGGAAAGAATCCAGGGCTGTCTGAGGGAATGCGCCAACACAGGGCGTGGTAGCGGGGAAGAAGCCTGGACACCAGGCAGAATGGGAGCAGAATCTAAAAACCACTTGAGAGGCACCTCCTGTCACCCCAGATACCCCAGAGCCTGCCTGGGCCACAAGGGAGTTCGTTCAAGGCCAGCCTGGCAACTCAACAAAACCTTGCCTCAAAATTTGTGCAGCAAGTAAAAGTGACTGATGCCAAAGTCTGGTGACTTGAGTTCGATCCCTGGAATCCATGGTAGAAGAAGACTAAGGACTCCCAAAAATGTCCTCTGGTCTCCATCTGCTTACTACACCACACACACACACACACACACACACACACACATACACACACACACCACCACCACCACCACCACCAACAACAACAACAACAATAATAAATACAAATAAACTTTTTTAAAGTTGAAAAGCAGGGCTGGAGAGATGGCTCAGTGGTTAAGAGCACTGGATATGATCTCCAACACCCACATAATGGCTCACAGTCTTTAACTCAGGCTCCAGGAGATCCAATGCCCTCTACTAACTTCCTCAGGCACCAGGAATGCATGTGGTGGACAGACAAACACGTGGGAAAAATACCCATGCATATTAAAAAAATAAAACCTTTAAAGTGTGTAGGGGGTGGGGAAGAGATTGTGACTCAGCTGTAGAGCATGTACCTAGAGTCCCCAGAGAAGGGCTGAGTATGTGGCTCAGTGGTGCTTGCTGAGTATGCTCAAGATCCTGACTTCAATGCCCAACATAAAATAAAAAGGCAAGGGGCAGGCACAGTCGTACATCCCTTTCATCTCAGCACTCAGGAAGCAGAGGCAGGCGGATCTCTGTGTTCTGAGCTAATCTGGTCTATATAGTCCACAAAGTTCCAAGACAGTAAGGCCTACAGAATGAGACCGCATCGCAAAACAGAAAAAAAGACGAGAGGGGAGGGGACCTGGCTGACCACACTCTCCCGGTCTCTGCTGCATGCACACACACTTCCTACACTTATAGCACAGACTTCACGTGCACACCCCAACAGGCACTGTCACACACACTCACACACACACACACACACACACACACACTTCCTCATTTCCTTTTGTAACTGAAAAACCGCAGAGATTTGAAAACAAAATCTTCTATCTCTGACCACCATGGGCCATGGTAAAGCTTACGTGTTTATTTTTTTGTTTTTGAGGCAGGGTCTTACTCTGTAGCAGTGGCTAGTATAGAACTTGCTCTGGAGCCCAGGCTGGCCTCAAATTCCCAATCATCTTCCTGACTTTATTTATTTATTTATTTTCGAGACAGGGTTTCTCTGTGGCTTTGGAGCCTGTCCTGGAACTAGCTCTGTAGACCAGGCTGGTCTCGAACTCACAGAACTCCCTGTAGACCGCCTGCCTCTGCCTCCCGAGTGCTGGGATTAAAGGTGTGCGCCACCATTGTTCGGCCTATCTTCCTGACTTTATTGCTGGGAATCCAGCCGCAGGCATCCAGTCACCTTCCCAGGCTCTGCTCCTCCCCCTTCTCTGTGTTCCTTGTCCTCTGTCCTCTCTCTGCTTTCCTTGGCCGGGGCATGTCAAGGCTCCACTCAGCACACCTTTGTGTATTTGCAGGCAAGAAAATGAACAGAGCTTTACCCTGGCTCAGACCTACTCCCGTGAGTCCCTGCTTGCTTCCTGGGTTTGGTTGGGGGCTTGGACTTCCCAAATCAAGGTCCCTTCTGTGTCCCTTGCCCTGAGGCCAGCCTAATGTAGTGGGCAAAGGCTCAGCTGGGTGAGTGCCTGCAAAGGCTCAGCTGGGTGAGTGCCTACTTAGACCCTGTTCCTGCTTCCCTCTTAAAGTGGCCAGACCAGTGTGGCCAGGACCCCTGAGGGACACAGCTTTGGACAAGCCATCTGAAAGGTAGGGAGACATTCCGCAGTGCATGGTCCTCCCAGGGACCCCCACCTGGCACAGTCAGCCAAGCCTTGTCCCCAAGCTGCAGAACTGTCTCGGTCCTGGCCTGTGGGGGCCCAGGGGACCGTCCCCTCCCCAGGGTGCCGCCTCAGCCCTCCCTTGCCCCATCCTTGCAGGAAGAACAAGCTGCTGTTCTCTCACCTCGAAGGTGAGTGACACCAGACAGGGCTGAGCCTGAGTGGGGATGGGACAGTGGGGCAGGTACTGGTCTGCCTGGGGTTGATGGAAGGGGCCTGAATAGATACGGCACACGCTTCTAACAGACTGTGTACAAAGCTATGACCGTCCAAAGCCCCTAGTCCCTTGCTTGGGCTACAGAGCCTGGGTTGGGCTGGGGCAGGACCTGGAGGGAAGACAGCTTAGCCTTTCTTCCAGGTCCTGAGTCCCTTAGGTACCAGAACTTCTACAAAGGTGGGTAGTTCTGCGGGGAGGGCATGGGCCACAGCCCAGGAGCTTAGCCCATCTTTAACTCTTCTATCTGGCCTCTTCCAGGCAGCAGTCACGAGCCCGATGAGACCTATGTGTAAGTGGCCCTCATCCAAGCCTGCTCTCTGTACGCCCCGAATTTCTGGGTCTCCCGTCCCAAGCGTCTTTATCTATGAGTCATTTAGTGAAGGCCTTTCAATCTGGTGACCATGGTCGCTCAAAGGAGGAGCATCTGGTAGGGTGGGCAGCCATCCTGCCATCTGGTGAAAGGCGAGTTACAAAGCAGTCACCATGGGCTACCTGTCAAGATGTGATACCCTCCCTCCAAAAACGGGGTGGGGTTCAGTTTGTAGTATCTGGGTTTCATCGCCAGCACTGCGTAAACCTGATGTGGTGGCTCATGCTGTAATCCCAGCACAGGGGAAGGAGGTCATCCTGGTCTAGCGAGTGTGAGATCAGTCCGGGACAATAGCGTGGGGGGGGGGGGGGGGGGGGGGGGGGGGGGGGGGGGGGGGGGGGGGGGGGGGGGGGGGGGGGGGGGGGGGGGGACAGGTGGCAGTCAGCTAGCTCAACCACTGAAGGCATTTATTTCACAAGCCCGACAACCCAATTTCCACCCCCCCATCTCCCCACCGCCCCCTGGACCCACATGGTAAAAAGGAAAGACCCAACTCTAAATGTAAACTTGGAAAGAGAGAAGGGAGGAGAGAGATAGATGCATAGATAGACGGAGGGGGGCATGGTACAGGTCTATCCTCCCAGCCATTCCAGTACTTGGGGGGCTAAGGCAGAAGGATCTGATTCAAGGCCACCTCCCAAAAAGAAATGGCCTCTAATAGGGTCTCCTCATGTCATAAATAGGGAGAATTTTGGCCCCGGGATGGGTGGGTGGGGACTTGTTGAAGGTGTCCTAGCCAGGCTGACAGTCCCTTAGCCCCAGGGTAGTCAGGGGCTCTGGGAACAACCATAGTGAATGGGAGGAGCAACCCCCACCTGGCCCTTCCTGATGGCCCCCTCCTGACAGGCCTGCCCAGCAACTTGCACTCTGTTTTCTTGTCCAGAGACCCCATCTCCACAGACTACTACAACTGGGGATGTCCGCGGAAGCCCCCAGAAGGTAAGGTGAAAGCTGGGGTGGGGAGGTGCAGAGGAGGAGGCAGCCCCTAGGTCAGGATGGGTCTGCAGAGATGTCGAGAGGTGAAGGGAGGAGGAGGACATGCTACAGGCCGGCCGAGGTGGGTAGGGCGGAAGGAAGCTGGTCAGCACATGCAGGGGATGGGGACAGAGCGCAGAGAGCAAGGGACAGGACAGGAAGCAGAAGTGGAGCCGTGGGTGGGAGCATCTGAGCTCACTTCTCAACCGGGGCTGGGCAGACACAGATGGGCACTGATGACAGATAAGCCCAGGCGGGCATGGAGGATGCCGGAGCCTTTGGTCATGGTCACTTCTGCTTTACAGAGAGCAGGGGCGGGGGACAGAGCCTATGGAGAGGAGCCAGGCTCTGGGCGGGGTCCTCACCTGGCTCTGTAGCGGGTCCTGGCAGTCTATTGAGGGGTCCTCTTCTTTCCCCCACTCTCTGCCACTTCTCTTCTTCCTCTTCTATTTTTTTTAAAAACATCTTTAAGAAAACAATTTGTTTATTGCGTGGGTGTGGGGACACACTTGTGGCAGTCTTAGGACGACTTGTGGGAGTCGATGCTGACCTTTAACCATGTGGGTTCTGGGGAAGGAGCTCAGCAAGTGCCTTTGCTTGGTCTTTATTCTTTTTTTTTAATTTTTTTTAAAAAAGATTTATTTATTATGTATACAGTGTTCTGCCTCTATGTGTGCCTGCAGGCCAGAAGAGGGCACCAGATCTCATTACAGATGGTTGTGAGCCACCATGTGGTTGCTGGGAATTGAACTCAGAACCTTTGGAAGAGCAGGCAATGCTCTTAACCTCTGAGCTATCTCTCCAGTCCCTATTCTTTTTTTTTTAAGATTTATTTATTTATTATGCATACAGTATATGCCTGCACTACAAGCCAGAAGAGGGCATTGGAACGCATTACAGATGGTTGTGAGCCACCATGTAGTTGCTGGGAATTGAACTCAGGACCTGTGGAAGAGTAGCCAGTGCTCTTAACCTTTGAACCATCTCTCCAGCCCCTGATCTTTATCCTGTGAGAAAGGTCTCCTGCCAGGTGTGGTGGCACAGGCCTTTAATCCCAGCACTCAGATCTCTGTGAGTTCGAGGGCAGCCCAGTTTTCACTGCAAGTTCCAGGACAAGCAGGGCTACACAGGGGGACATTGTCTCAAAACAAAACAAGATCAACAAGACGGATAACAACAAACATGCACATCTGCACCAGCAGACACACAGAACAAACAACAACAACACCCCCAAAAACATCTGGACTAAGAGAATGCAAAAGACCCTGAAGCCCAGGGGGAGAGCTTGGTGGGGCTGTGGGGGCAGCAGAAGCGGGAAGGGACATGGGGCTTGCAGGTAGGGCCACCAGCAGACCCCTGCCAGCTGCCTTCTATTACAGAGGATGACTCTAACTCCTACGAGAATGTGCTCATTTGCAAGCCCAGCGCCCCGGACTCCGGTAAGGTGGTCTCCCCCAAGAAAGGCAGGGCAGAGGCTGGCAGCCCAAGCTAGGCTCACCCTCATGAATAGAAAGTGAGTTCCTAAGACTCAGCCTTGCCTGCGTTCTCCATGTCTCTGCTACTTTTGGGTCAAGTCCACCCAAAGGAGGAGCTGACCCCTGGCTCCCTGGACCTACTCAGTGTCCCCATCCCCTCCCTCAGGTGGCGAGGACGCTGAGGATTACCAGAACTCACTATCCATCCGAGAGTGGAGAGAATCCAGGAGGACTGTGGGTCTGTCTCCCATGGGCAGAGGCCACCACAAGTGCAGGCTGGGGTGGTGGTGGTGGGATCCACTCCAGCAGGCAGCAGGAGGGTCGGCCTGGGTGGGTTCCCCTCCAGCCAATCAGGCTGGCTTCACAGTGGAGCCTCCATTGTACCCACGGCCACAGAACTCCCCTTGGCAGCAGCGTGGCCTCCAGAGCTGGTCACCCAGTCTTGAAGCAGGAGAATTTCTGAAAACACAGCAGGGACAGGCTGTGTCACCAAGAGTCCTGTGCAACATGACACTTCCCCTGTGTCATCTGCGGGGTCTTGAGCACGCCGGTTGGGGACCAGCAGTGGTGTGTGTCTGTGAACTGTGAACAACCACCCGTCCTGATCCGTAGGTGCACCCGTGTCCCCATCAGGGAGCCCAGATGAGGAGCCAGATTACGTGAACGGGGATGTGGCTGCTGCCTAGAACATCTAGGGGAGAATCAATCGGAAGGAAGGTACTGCACCCTGTGGCTACTCAGAAGTGAACGGTCCAAGTGCAGGGAGGAGCCTTGGACTCATGACTAGCCTCCTGCGTGCACATCAGCTATTAGGACTAGAAGGGAGATGCCTACTGAAGTCCACCATTCCACTTCCTGTGGGACTGGGGGACCCAGAAGAGTTAGGGTCACCCAGGTGATAGGAGGAAGCATATACATGGTCGGGGCACTGGAGATGATTTTTTTTTGTTATTGTTTTTTTTTGTTTTTCAAGATAGGGTTTTCCAGTAGCTATCTAGTCAGTCCTGGAACTCTGTAGACCAGGCTGGCCTTGAACTCACAGAGATCCCTTTGACTCTACCACTGCCCAGCTCAGAGATCTAGTCTTAAATAATAGAAAGGAAACTTGAGAGATGGCTCAGTGTAAGCATAGGATGTGAGTTCGGATCCCCAGCACACACCCGTCATCTGGTGCTGGGGAGGCAGATCTCAGGGCTCACTGACCAGCAAGCCCAGCAGAAACAATGAGCTCTCTAGGGATAATGGTACAGCAAGATATTCAAAGTTGACTTCTGGCCTCCCTATGGACATGGACCTGTACACACAGGTGCACACACACACACACACACACACACACACACACACAAATAGATAAAAGGAAAGATGCAAAAAGAAAATAGGAGGCCAGGCCGTGGTGGCGCACGCCTTTAATTCCAGCACTTGGGAGGCAGAAGCAGGTGAATCCCTGTGAGTTCGAGGCCAGCCTGGTCTACAAGAGCTAGTTCCAGGACAGCTAGGACTGTTACATAGGGAAACCCTGTCTCAAAAAAACCATAAAGAAGGCCGGGCGGTGGTGGCGCACGCCTTTAATCCCAGCACTTGAGAGGCAGAGGCAGGCAGATCTCTGCGAGTTCAAGGCCAGCCTGGACTACAAGAGCTAGTGCCAGGACAGGAACCAAAAGCTACGGAGAAACCTTGTCTCGAAAATCAAAAAT